GGCATGAATGGATAAACCACTAGGAAATTGTTTTAGCTCATCCTAAAACGTTCTTTTAGGATGGCAGCAATCCTCTTTGAGCCTGGCCTTGAACTTTTAAATTTAATTTCTCCAAACTCAGGAAAAGTGCTGTTTATAACAGGTCATGTTATAATTGTTTATAATGTTTAACTAACTAACTAACTAACTAACTAACTAACTAACTAACTAACTAACTAACTAACTAACTAACTAACTAACTAACTAACTAACTAACACTTCAAAAAATTGAACTATCCCGTCAAAAAGAGAGAGCAGAAAAAGTCCTCCGAATCACTAAATAATGGTTTGTATTCCAAATCTAACACGGTTCTCAATAAAAATTCTRTCTTTTTATGGTTAAATAATGTCTCCACGGTGTCTAACATACTAAGATTTAAATGCAGTGTGGCACAGCTGGTATGTAGCATAAGACATGATGTGACCCTGCATACAGCAGCCAAGTGGTGCACTATACATGGTACTGACATGGGACTACCAGTCACACACCCCTTCATTAGTAGAGCCAGACAGTGTGGAGCATGTATTTTACAACACACCTAACATTTCAGATAGAATATAACCTTTGGGTGGCATGTCACAGGACTGGGCTTACTGCAGCAGCAGCATGTAACCGTGAGCGTGTGTGTGTGTGTGTGTGAGAGAGAGAGATAGAGAGAGAGAGAAAGAGAGACCTTTCTGTCTGTTAAACCTTACTTTGGGTTTTGAGTTCATTTCCAAAATAACAATGTGCGAGACAGAAATTATAAAGCACTCAAGATGTACAATATATAGTTATGGAAGCCCAAAAGCATCTGAGAGGAACGGCAGCAAGTCAGAGGGTACACACACACACACACACACACACACACACACACACACACACACACACACACACACACACACACACACACACACGACTCAATGAAGATATAGAAATGTCAAAACAAAACACTCAGAGACATCCTAATATCCTTGAATTAGTCTGAAGGCAGGTCCCCAGATAGCTCCGGCTGCGGTCATCGGATGCCTGTTTTGGACAGGCGCAGTCCGAAATAGCTTCAGGAAATGAGAAGATGATGATGGACCTCTACTCGCTGCCTGAGCGCAGCTCTATAAAAATAGAATTTATGTGTTGTTTTCAGCGGAGAAGAAAGAAATAATCACTTGAAATGTTTCTTTAATTAGAAAGTCGCAATGGGCACACAGTTATGTGATGTATTTACCAAAATTTAAAAAAAAATAATAGTAATAAATCATACTCTTTATTTGAACTAAATTGTCAACATTTTATTATACAGCTAAGAAAATAAAAATGTAAGCGACAAGAAAATAAACTTTAATTTAAAAAAAGTACAACTAAAAGCATCGGCAATATTTATATTTGTTTACTCCCAAATGAAATAAGCTGCAATGCCTCAAACTTTGCCAAAGTACTGATGTTCAGTTTCCTCTCCTCTAAAACAAACTCCACACCATCACTCCATCTGGATCCTCATTTCTGAAGCAGAGATCAGCTCCAAGCTGTGAGTAACAGGCGCCATCTTGTGGCCGYACCTGAACTGCACCTGTGCTGCAGCTAAAGATGATTCATGAAATACTGAAGAGTAGGATGACGTCAAGAGAAATGTATTTTTTTAYGTTTTCGGTTTTATTTTCTTTAACCTTTCATGATGSCACAAAATTTTGAAAATAAAAGGCACAACATTCATGTAAATCATATCGACTGCATCYCATAGTAAGGAGCTGGGCACCAGTTTATGTAACAGTGACTAATGTGTTCCAAAGCAAACGGCCCCACGGTTCTAAGTCATTACAATATTCATTATTAACTCTCTCTGCGGCATTCCAAATTTTTGATGTGAAAATCAAGTGTTGTGTTAATATGTTCAGGATGAGTGACAGCAGGAAATCCCTGTGACCGACAGATGACTCATGTTTGTCGTTAGAGCAACAAATAATGTTCAGTAACTTCATTACTCGGAATGAGCAAAGACAATAATATGAATCTTTTGAAATACGACAACATTACTTTTCTGAACTAATTTTATACGCTTTGTCATTTTGTAAATGAATTRTTCCTTTGAAAACAGTATACGCTGCTATCATTTCATGGGGCGTCTCTAAGTGGAATTATCATCAAGTCTGATTACTTGTTTGAATCATTAAGGAATACCAAAAGTTGTTATATTACTGTCAAGCTGGAATGCTAAGTAGTAAAATGTTTTTCTTTCAGCTGCTCCCTTCTGCAGGGGTCACAGCAGAGAGCAAACAARAATGAACAACTTGGCGATTATTTTGCACCGGATGCTCTTTTCTGGGCTCAAACCTGCAGCCTCAGACTACAGAACTGCAGCATTGCTGCCGCAACCCCCTTTGTGTGTTAGCATGCAAATATACTAAATGTAAACTTAGCTGCAGGGTGAAATTTGAAAATGATTAAGCTGGCCTCCGTGTGCCCTCAGAGAAAGTGTTTATGAATGGTTTCTTGAGTGCAGGTAATTCAATTACAGTTGATGCAGAAAACGATGAATTAAMCACTGACCAAGAAAGTTCAGAGCTCCCACTCTATATTAACATCAATAGAGAAGCATCTCAGCTTTCCAATCTGTTAGGCAAAACACAACAAAACAAATCTCAAATTCATTAAAGCGCTGATGAAAAAACTAAGCAAAACAATCTTCTGCTRTTTTGCTTCTTCTTTTAGAAGTAAAACTGATCCACCTTTATGCTGTTTGTTTGCATCAGTTTAGTGTAAAATATAGAACTGAAACAGACCATTACGAATTGTTGCATCAAATGTATCACCTCCATTTTCCAAAACAGGGAACGCACAACATTACAGTTTTGATGAGAAAATATGTGGACATTTTCCAACTACTCAGACTTTTATAGCTGACATTAATAGACACATATGACAATAAAACATTGATGACAGTTTAACTAACAACTTTTTTGTGCAAAACTGTAGATTTTGTCCAATATTATCAAGTTTATAACATCCGATATTCTGAAATAAGCTAAATCAAGTTCGAATTGAACACCATGTTTTGTCTCACACAGAATTTTAGTTTTAAAGGAGACATATCATGATTTTAAATCTTTCTTTTTCGTATTAAAATGCATCTGTATAAAGTGTAACTGCAGTGTTTCGGTCGGAATTCCTCCTTTATGTAACTCCACAAGCCCCTTCTTCACCTTCACCCCTGGAGACTACAGGTAAACAACAAAGTGCATTTAATGGCTAAAAAAAGGGGATTTTGCATGCTTTCCCTTTAAAGCACTTAAGAACATTTATATATGACATGCTAATATTGTTTTGCATTCAGTCATAGCATATACATTTACAAACACATGTTCAGATCATGACCTGATTCAGAACTGAGAGAAGCAGAGATCCTAATAGGTCAGTGGCTCTCATTGAATCAAAGCTGCAGTTTTCATGTCTTGTTTAGTCTGAAACATGTTAAAGCTATTCAGTACAGCAACAGAAATAGAACATGGATTATTGTAGACTTGTGAAGATTTATCTCATTGGGACCTCTCAGATTTACATCTCAAGCTTTTGCATTTATCCTGTCCTTTAGCATGGAAATCCAAGTTAACAAATGCTGCATCCTATATCTGTGTGAAACTTGTTTACTACCCACCCCCCCCCCAACAAAAAGAAAAAAAAAAACATCAAAGCTAGAAAGCATCAAAGACCTTCAATTCACACTTTTGCTGTTTATCAAAGAAATAATCCTAACACCAGATGGTGCAGCCTACGTCAGAGCACGATTGCACAGCACCCTCTAATGTGGCTCCGCTGAAAAAACCCCAACTTGCAACYAGCAGCTCCGGTCCACCCAATTGCACTAAACTCTCCCCCATCTGTCCCTGTTTGGGCTGCAGGGCACATCTGATCCAGTATTCAACTGGTAAAAAGTCAGAGTTCAGGGCGCGACAAAAATAATGACACTGTGGATGCTTGTCRTGTGCTGTTATTTCACCAGCAGCAGCTCCGGTGTCTGCTCACAAAACACACTGCCTCTTTTTTTCTTTTTTTTTGTCAGGATTATTTTCTGTGTATGCATTCACATCCTCAAGAGGATTTTTTTCTCTCTCTCTCTCACACCTAAATACAGACATAGTGAAATAGATCATTTTGTTTGGAGTCAGGCTTTGGCAGTAATGAAGGGTACAACCCTCCAGGTCTGAGCATGCAATAAGCAATGTTGACGGATAGGTATTATGAGGACTTTCCTCCTTCCTCTGTTGGGTATTTGTGATAATCTCCTTTAGAATGACTCATAGGTAGATTACCACATTCCCTGTTGTAGGTCAGGATATCCTAAATAGGTTGTATATATAGGTGAGAGTCACACGGCAGGCTGGGAGAAGCTATAATGACAATAATGCTTACTTGTTCATGGGAAACATTCCTCTTTGGGAATAATCCATTTCCACTGTGGTATCCTCATCTTACATCATCACTTTACATCATTTTATTGTATCTGTGGAAAAAAATGATGAATGGTTGAAATCGTTTTTTTTTTTTCATCCTGGAGCAGGGGTGTAAAACTCACTTTCACAGAGGGCCACGTGAGCATTATGTGTAATTAACTTCAAAGTTTCATATTTAATTTTGAGTAAMTATAAAACGTGAAGTTCCTGGTCTCATTGCCACAGCTGAGTATGTTAAACAWATAACTGAGCTCTACGTGGTATTTCCTGCATAGAAACATTTGTTTAACACATTCTCTTACAAAGMCTGAAAAGTACAACTGACTAAATGTAAAATAAACAATACAAAAATACTAACAAGAGTAAAGAGTTTTACTCACTGCTGAGTTGGGCTGAACAGCTGCCATCTTGAATTCTGAACTCTCCCACTTTCCAACAAGGAATTCCCACTTAAATGTAAGACTTGTAAGTGGGGGTTTCCCACTTCCCAGTACAAATGGAGCGCAGTAAAAGTAGCAGACAAAAATGCAGCTAAGTGGAGATTTTAGACAGCTGCTGGATACTTTTGAAGCCTGTGCACCTCCACCTAATGGTGGGATGTCTGAACGTTGCAGGTAAAATAAACACCATGCATTATGGGAGATGAAGTTTGTGGTCAATGCTGGTTTTAAAGCAGCGGATGCTTATTTTAAAGACACTAATCTCTAAAGCTACGTCAAGCTACATAAAATAATGTGGCGGGTCACATTTGGCCTTGAGTTTCCTAGACGGAACAGTAAACAGAGAGAAGCACTAATAAAACTGCATCTTTACTAAAAAGCATAGATTTTTTTTAGGTGACTTAAGTTTCTTTTTGTTAAATTTTAAAACTTTTTAAATCTAAATTTATCATGGTTTTAGCAAGACATTTGGACTCAAAATGCAGACTAACACAAGGCGCTCCAGTAAACTCGAACATTTAAGTAAAACAAAACAAACAAGGCTGTTGGGGCAGCAAAAACTTACAAAATGGACGAGCACAAGGAAACATGYGAAGAACTTCAATGTGGTTTAGAAACCAATAAAGCCCAACTGGTTTTAGAGTGAAAACTGCAGGAATAAATGGGGCTATGGAGGGAAGTGGCTGCAGCTGTGACTGAGGAAACATGAGACAAGTGGAGATGGCCATGGCAGGATGACARGAAAGGCATTGAGGGAGAAGTGGCTGGTGAAATGGAGGAAACATAACACAAACAAAAAATCATTAAAAAACACAAAAAGAATCACAATCGCCTCATAATAACTGATGTGTTCTTTACATTTTTTCACTCTTGTGTAAAAACAAATCTGAAGAGTCTGAATTCCTCATGTGGTAAAACATATTAATATTAGTGTTAATACAAAATTTGTGAGCAGAACCCTTTATGACTGGCAGGTTTAAGTGGTTGCACCATTATACTCACCAGAACACTACTCTTTGAAAGTGAATGCAGTAAGGTACCCATTTCAGTTTCAGCAGGAAAATATTTTCTTCCAGCTCATTATATATCACACTAATGTGACTTCTTATAAGAGAAAATGGTAGAAAAAGAAATGTCAAATTTTTTGAACCTCTGATAATGATGCGTCTCTGTATTAGTTTCACATTTTCCTATTGACACACAATGCAAATAACTTGGAACCTTTGTGCTGCAATAACACTGCAACCCTTGTTAAACCAACGAATTTGCTCATTTTCTAAAGAGGTAGAATGTAGCATGCATGATTTGGCTTTTTGAAGTAATTAAGCTACAAGTTATGCAGAAGGGCTCCAAAGGCCAATTACAATGAGCATCTGCCACTGTAAAGACTGAGCATGACCCCGGTGTAGCTTTCTTCAGTGCACATATAGCACAGCTTACTTAGCATGGCTCCCCAGAAGGTGAATAATCACTAACCATAAAATCTTTAGAGGCTTATGAATCTCTCTGAAGCACAGCAGTATTTTTGTGTCATGATTTACCTCCACAGGTCTATTACAGAATTACTGCTGCAGAAAATGACTTCACATTAACACAAACTGTGGCGGAAGCTGTTTCGGAGGATGTATAAATACATTCAAATCAACCCCGAGGTGAAGATTATCCGCTACAGGGGTACCAAGAAACTGTTTGGCCTGTCTGCGATTAGTTGATAAAGCTGCCTTTTTTACATATCTGTACTGTAAAGCCAAGATGGCTTGTGGTAATAACAATTTAATGATGGCTAATGAGGGCATTTGAAATGTGAGCATTGCATCATTGCAACCTCATCTGCTCATGGTTTGAAAAAAGAAAAGTGCAACAATATATCATGTGTTTTTATTCTGTGTACTGCTGTGAGGATTCACTGAGCCAGTTTGCTGCGTTGAAATAAACTTTAACCAATGGCACAATGAGCAACATATTTATCATATTTATTATGCCAACAATTGCATTTGCACTGAATGCTACAGTCAAGATGAAAAATTGCTGCTGCTGATGAGATTTGCAGTAATTTTTCTATTAATTGAAAAGAACTCAGCAACATGAATTCAGTTTTTGTCCAACAACAGCAGAAGAAAAAGCAATAAAAGCTGTGGTATGTGCTTAAGTTTGTTATCAATATGATAATTATTGCCTGATGTGCCTGGTTATGTTTACTAAATAGTTTTTGTGACATAAAAAATAATGATCACTGATAGTTTTGCATTTCATGAAGCCATGACACATTAAAAGAAAAATAAAAGTTTCTTTTAAGTGTGCATTGCATCTTCTGCTGATATGAGAAAGGTTAGCAAATACTTCACAAAAATAATTCCTATACCAGCCAAATATACTGTATCAGAATTTGCCCATTGCAGTGATGATGTGGAATTGGGCAAACTTTATAATAAATAACAAAATATAAAAAAAAATGACATTTATCTTATCTTGTCCTGTATAGTGTATTATATTTTGTTTTATGTATTTTATCAAATATTTTTATTGAAGAACTGCCTGTTCAAAAAACTTTCTCAAATTTATTACATTAGAATATTGCATAAAGTATTTTTTTCTGTCAGTACATCCACCCATGTTGCTGTTGTCACAGTAAATTCAAAAGAAAAGTTTGAAAAAAGGCGTGAATGACCTCAGCCGACATTATACGTAGCTATAGAATTGCAAATAAATGACAGAAACATTTAATTTAATGGGACATTGAAATATAAGTTCTTTCAAGTGCCACTCTCACAGTGGGGAACATATTTATCCGTGAAGCTGCATTTAAAGTGTGAAAAACGAGGCCTTGAATGTGATTCTATGTAAGCCATTTACTGTATGCTTCAATTCTGTTTTGTGAAACAGAAGTTTACAAAAAGAGAAGTGAACCGAATATGTGGGCGCAGAAAAGAGTCTCAGTCAAAATGTTTATTTTATCTGGTTAAAAGTAGTTTTCATATCAAAGCTTTAATCTAAAACAACAAAGTACATCACGTTCATGAGAAAACTGGTTAAAAACATGATTCTGAAAAGTAGATTTCGCAACAGAGTTTGCACTAAAAACAGTCATAGCCACTAATTTTTAACATCTTTTTCAGAAAATCTTTCCAAGGCACTTCTCTCTGGCAATCAGCTGCTGTGCTTTTAACAACAGACAAAACTCGATGAAAGTGAGTGGCATTCTCATTTGAATGACTGGGTGGGGGTGGGGGGGATTTTTGTAAATGTCATCAAGAATGTGTTAAATATGTCAATCTGATAAAATCAAATGAAGCTGTGGTTCACCACTTTCAGGTTGCCTTTTTTTTAAATAAAATTACATTTAAAGCAGTTTTTTAATTCTCTGTCGCCAATTTGTGAGGTGTAAAAGTGGGCTCACACTTTTCAAAGCTTTAACGTAAAGCAGAATATTTTTTTATTAATTTAGCTGAGAGAAGGATCTTAAGCTTCACTAACGAAGTTCTGTCGAAACTGGAATCTATGCACTCACAACCCCACAGCATRACCACAGCTGGCTGTCAATACTAATTAGAATTTATCATTTAAATATTGCTTACTTTTTATGTTGGCTAATATGTTCAGTTTAAACTTAGAACTCTGAAATGATTACTATTCAACACCCTTCAAAACGTTTTTACAGTGGACAAAGTTGCTGAATCAATGTGCATTTGCAATTATGAAACAACACAAATTAAAATAGATTAGAGCTTTATTGGTGAACGTGATACCAGTTTTTATTTTGGTATTCTTCCAACATTTATGACAAGAACAGAGAGAATCTGCATCATGTAAAAGAGTTCAAAATACCACATTCTGTAAGTACAAATGCCCATATAAAAACACTATGATTGAACTGTCATTTTCACTGCTGAAACTCAGTGATGACAATCATGTATATATTATATTTGCAGTGCCACATGTTAGATTCTCCATTTCTGTTTGATATAAAATAGACAAAAATAATTTGATATATTTTCCATAAATTTTTCATAAAACCATTTCCAAGTGATCACGACATGAAATCATCAATGACATTCTGGATTATTTGCAAATTCACCACTAATACCAAAATAATTATCTTCTTCTTTAGCATTTACTATATAATCACATTTGTGTTCCCATCTGATCAGATTTGCTCCATAAATATATTTAACTGCTTTGCTAAAAGAACGCTGAGCTATGCTAAGGGAATAAAATAACATAAAATAAAAATTAGAGTTTAAACAAAAACTTAATAATAATAAAAGAATGTAGTCTAATATGTTCAATAAAGAACAAAATCAAAGTCATTCAAGGTACTCATAAAACCTTTTGTTTCTTTTAGGCACTCGTTGCCTTTCTCTTCTTTAGCTCTGCCGGTGATACAGGTGGGATTAAAGTAAGCCTTAACATCTCATTTCAAACAAAATAAAATAAGTGCAATCACATCTCAGTGATTAGAGCTTTTTAAAGCTGAGGCACACATTTTAGGATGATTTTCTTAAATAAATATCTCTAAAAAAAAGGTAATAACAGAAAGGAAGTTCATTTTGAGGATGGCCAGTCATAGTTTCGTCATTGGTATGTGCAGGCTGTTCCAGGGTCCCATCCACAGCTCATCCTCATCTGATAATGTGTGTTCGCTGTGTGACTCCAGCGTTTCCCGACTGCTCTTGTGGTTGTCAACAGCAGTCTCTTGCTCCTCGCTGACACATGGCCCACTGTTGCTTCTGTCAATTATGGCCTTGGCAATACTGGTTTTGGACCCAAAACGTTTTAGATCTGTAATCGCTGATCCCAATGAACCACAAGAAGACAACGTGTTGAGGTTTACGTCCTTGCTAGAATGAACGCATGTGCCGTTTCCATTTTCGGTGTTTTCTGAATTCTCCGTGCTGGCAACAGGAGGGGGTTCTTCGCGAGTCACACCTAACTTGTCAAGTTTTTTAAAATGCTGTTTGAGTCGGCACGGAGAGCCCAGTTTTAGGTTGTTTAAATGGGGCGGTCGTCTAGTTCGAACAATTGTGCCGTTCTGCGCGAGGTAGATGTTTCCATTGATGTTGCTGTGGCTGTTGGGGAGTCTGTTCCGCTGGTTTTCTGTAGTGCTCTCCTCTCCGGTGGAAGTGGTCTCATTCTCTCGATCTACCACAAGCTTGATCCTCTTTTTTCCCCCAGCCTGAAAATAAAGAAAGGTCAGTGTCAGTATATAGATTCTTTTTTCTATTAAAGTGCACATCGAGTGTCCAAGACTGAAAAAAAAAGTTGCTTTGCACACACCAGATACGGGTACCATTTTTGTCATTTATGTGAGTGATTTTTTTTCTCTCCGCAGTAAAATATCTGAATGAACATCTTCCACAAGGGGAGATTCCATATTTTTTTCTCAGTTTTTGCCTTCTGCCTATTTATCCAAACTCCTACTTTTAACATAGGTAAGACATTTTCATTCATTTTTTGAAGCAACTACTGAAATACAAATACTAAATGCTAATAATTAAATGTTAAGTGCTCATCTACAAAAACATGTTTTGCCAAGTTTTTTTAGTATAAATCTCACTTTGAGTTTACGAAGAGAAATAAAACCCATTTATTTTAAGTAAAATATTAAGATCATGGGAAAAGATTGGAGAAAATATTTCTCACTGCAACATGGGTACTCACTAGAAAAAAAGGAGTATAATGTTAGAAAAATTCAAAGGCACGACAAAGCAAACAGAAAACATCAAAGAGAGGAAGAAGTCAAAGATGATAGAAAAAGTCAGATCCAGATAATATGCAGCAGAAAACCACAAGCCTTTCCCCCCACAAAACAGGAAAGATGAGAAAAGTGGACACTTGAAACACTCTAGATGCAGGCAGTATTTCTTCACTCCCATGCAAAGGTGATTGATTTTGTTCACTCTTACTTCACAGTGACAACATGTCTCTAGAAGGATGTCGAGTTCCCTTCCGACTCAGAATCACCATCTGACGTTTCCTCGGTTTCCTCTGAGCCTTTTGATGCGGCGCCGCCCCTCGATCCAGAGCCGCTGACTGAAGATTTGTCAGAAGAGATGGCGTCCTCGTCCACTTCAGTGATAGGAGACAGTCCTCCGTATGTATCCTCGGACTTCTCGCTCATGCTCCTAATGTCAGTGCTGTACTGATGCCCACTGTAGGGAGCTGAGGGTCCAGGGTCTCCAGACGCCACACTGGACCTCCTGGATGCTGACTCATCACTGTACTCACTAGCAGAATCTTTGCTCTCGTTGGCCGTATCAGGTTCCTCCTCCTCCTCTTCTTCTTCGTCTTCTTCTTCTTCTTCACTCTCCTCTGTGATTGTGTCCTCTGAGCCTCGGCTCAGGACAGACCTTTTGGAGCTACGACTCCCACTAGCAGACTGGGATCGAGCTGAGCTCTTCTCACTCTCTGTCATCTGACTGCCGATGGAAGACCTCTCACTCATCTCTGAACCAGACAGTTTCCTCTTGCTGGACCCGCGAGATGAAGAATGTTCGCTTCCGGACATTGACTCAGCGTCGCTGGCTGTACCTGTCCCTGACTCGGCTTCACTCCCTTCCTCACCAGACTTCTCGGAGGTGGTTTTTGACGATGTGGTTCTTTGGGATGATCTGGCAGTTGAGGCAGATAAAGATGCAGCACTGCTACCACTCCTGCTCCTGCTGCCACTCTCAGTGGCACCAACACTAGAAGCACTGCTTCTCCTGCTGGCTTCAGTAGCCGATGACCTCACAGAAGAACGTGCAGAGACTCCACTTTCTCTAGCGCTTTCCGAAGCCTCATCCTCCTCAGACTCTTCATCGGAGTCTTCCTCGGTCACTGAATCTTTACCTGTGCTTGCTTCTTGTTCTGTTGCGGTGCCCGTTCCTGATTCGGTCTCCTTGTCAGATCTGGACTCTTCCTCAGAGTCAGACTCCTTCTCGGTTTCGGACTCTTTCTCAGTGTCTGAGTCTTTTTCTGTAGCTGAGGATTTTTCTGAATCAGATTCTTTCTCTGAGTCTGACTCTCTCTCTGTCCCTGATTCTTTCTCACTGACGGAGCCCTTTTCAGTTTCCTCCTCCTCAGATTTAGACTTGCTCTCCTCATCAGAATCCCCAAGTTCTTCATCGGGCTCTTCCTCCGAGTCCACAGTGCTTTCGTTTGTGTCATCCCTATCTAAATCGACTTTTAGATAATCTTTGTCCACACTGCTTTTCTCTGAGGATTCCCCATCGGAGTCTCTCTCCCTGCCACTTTCGCTCGCACGTTCTTCTGGCTCACTTTCGGTCACACTAATAGACACTTTAGATTTCCTTTCATCCTCACTGGCTGCTTGTGAGGCCTCTTCATCCCTCTCGCTCTCTGTGCCTGAGACGTGACTTGCACTACTCTGTGACTTCCTCCGGATCTGCAACTTGTTGGTGATGTTAATTTTCTTCAAAACTTTGCTAAGTCGGCTGCGAGCATCAGACTTGCTGTCTATTGGCCCCATAGCTGCTGGTCCGTCAGCGAGGCTCTCCTGACTGTCAATACGGCGAGCTGACATCAGTTTGGCATAGTCCTTGTCCTTCTTTCCAGCACCAAACATCTTGAGCATTTTGGCTTTCTTCCATGGAGATGGACCAGCATCAGATGGTGGCTGTCCTCCTTTGCTGGCCGCCAGGAATTTGCTGAGTTTCATGACAGACTTTAGTCTCTTGGCAGCCTTTGAAGGCTCGCCTTCCTCTTCTGGCTCAGCTTGTTCAGTTTCCTCCTCTGGAGGCAGATCCCTAAAGGCAACCCTCTTCGGTGGACCTCCTCTACCTCTCATGCCACCACGGCCTCTGCCTCTCCCACGGCCCTAAGACAGTCACAATTTATTTAGCAACCTTTTGTGATGATAAAGTAAGACTGCTGAAATCCCAAACTGGGTTCTGTTCAATAACACACTGGACTTTTACAGCACATTAGTGGACATTGTTGCCATTGTAATCGTATTTGAAAAAAAAAATCACATTCAAAGAAAGGCAATACCTCAGGGTCATGTGGACTGTAGTAATACCCATCATCCTCCATGATCACTTCTCCATATTCATCATACATGGGAGTTATCAGCCTCCTCCGACTGCCATATTGAGGAAAGTCATAACTGAGAGACAGAAAAAAAGCTAATGTTCAGACATGCAGTTAGAGGGAACAACTGCTTATTTTTTACCCATCTGTTTAAACCAAATGACATAAAAATAACAATTTTCAAGCTGCAAAACAAATTGCCACAAACAAATGCGTTMTGAAACACCTTGTGTCATTGACAGATGCTATATTTAGACATAAAGTGCTTAAAGATTCAGTGTGGGGGTGTGACACATATAATCTGCCACTGAAGTAGGAATAATAAACAACCTCAGTGCATGCAGTGGAGAWCAGTTGTTTCACATGAATGAAATGCAGTGTTTATTTTTTTTTAATCTGCAATATTGATTTTGGTGTATTTGTTAAAAAAAACATGTTACTCATGAAAAATCCACCCATTTTCTTCCTACATCCTTATGTAATATCAGGCAACCCACATTTATAAAGAAACTGCTTTTAGGAAAGAAATCATGGAACAACAAAAACAAAAACTAGAACTATATTTATTCCCTTCCCATACCCTTACAGTAACAAGAAAAACACAAACTGATGTGCATATTAT